TTTGCTCATACTCAGTGGATACGCTCTTCCAATATGAACGTTGTAAACGGTGGGGGTGGGTGTGGGGTTGTAAATGTAACAGGAGTATCCTCGGGCGTGCTGCCCCAGGTCCCCCAGGAAATATGAAATCTTGAAATAGCTATATAGAAATGCTTGACAAAGTAATATCCTTTAACTGCATGAACAGCAATAAATCAGATTTTTAACTATTAACTTACTAGTGATATTTTATGTGAACCTTGGAGAGCTGGTGCCTATTGTGAATTCAAACAGGTCAAAAAGTACAATCGTTCTAATGTCACAATATTATGGATGTGAGCTATTTAGTTTAACATATGAAGATTTAAACCGAATTTATCCAGATTTGTTTTCGCTGTTCAGCTGATTTTATTCAGCCTTCTTTCCTTTTGTTTTGTGATGTTGTAGTGGGTTGATCGGTTGGTATAACGGGGGCTGACAGCTCTAACAAGGGCTGTTTCGGGAGAAAAACAAATTTATTCCGGGAATCTGGAGATTTTGCCGGGAATCGGGAAACCTGGGAAAATTTCCGGGAAATTTGAGATATTATCGGGACATTGAGCAAAGATTTCATATTGCATGTTATCAAACCATATATATGCACAGTGATATCCACCCTGCCTATGCACTGTATTTTATGTATTTTGACGCTTGAAAACAGCTTAACTTCCCATGATATGAAAAGACCAATCAGCAACGTTTCCAACTAAAATAGCAGTTGGAGTGCGATTGACCACGTGCAATCCCTAGCAGATTGACACAAGAACCGTGCCGGTGCAGGGCACATACTATCAGTATACTTAGCTGAAAGTGATATATATCCAGAACAATTTCAAAAACCGCACAAAATATAAAAGTAGGCATAAAAATGACAACTGATTTAGAGAACAATTTTGGCAGAATTTGTCCTCTCAGAACACTAGAAATGACGTTTCAGAGCACCAAGATTTCAAAATTTTCTGGGGGAGCATGCCCCCAGACCCCCCTAGTAGCTGGCCCCTTCAGCGCTCGCCTGATTTGTCGGTGATTAAAAAAAGACCCCACGATTTTTTATACTTAAAAAGTTGGACAGTCTTTCTGTGTCAACATGATACCCTCAGTGTTCAATTCCTCTAAACGAAAAAATAACGGCTAAGGTTAGAAAACCAACAAGTTACATAATTAACAAGAAGCTGCAAAAAATCTTTAATTGTTAAAACAATTTTGGGAAGTTAAACATTAAGCTTGGGGAATGCTACCGAAAAATTCGGGAGGGTCGTCCAAATTTCCGGGAGGACATAAAGTTATTCATAGGACTGCCCAAACAGCCTTTGTTAGAGTTGTCACCCCCCGTGGTATAAATAGAGCACTGATTATTCCTGTTTTTCGATTTACATTGCGAAGTTATATGCTCGTCGATTTTACATTGCGGATTTAATTGATTGTACAAGTTACGTTAACGAGCCGAAGATTAAACTGTTGAAGTCCAAACTTGAGTCCTGTACTGTTTCCAGTTGTAGCAGATCCGGTACCTTGGAATAGTGACGAGTTCCTTTCCCGCTTGCCAGGCGAGTTGCGAGTTAGTTCCCCCCCCCCCCCCCCCCC